CATCTTTAAGTTCAATTTATATCTGTGAAGTTCACATAAGTCGTTACTACGAAGTAATTGGGTTTTTAGTCATTCCATATTGTGCTATCAAGTTGCCGTAATCATAACATTCAAGTCCTGTTTGAATCTATTTGATTATATTAGAAAAAAAAAGATGGAATCAAATACTCATGGTTGCGATAAATTTTGGATAATTCAAAAAAACAAGAGCTGTGATACGCGTTTTTAGATCATAAAACGAATTTATAACGACGAATTGTCTAGCGGAGATAAGGATATCGACCATCTAATAAAAAGAATGCAACGAAATTGATTTACGTTATTATGAGTTAGTTATGGATTTGATTATAATACATTCGAACGAATTCCCTTTGAAAGATTTACCAACGTTGAATATCTTGCAAAAGGAGATTTTGGGTCAATTTATAAAACAACCTTGTTTTACAAATGGGATCATGAAGAAAATGAATTTAAACGAAGTAATGCCTTATATAAGTCCATAGGTGTTAAATAAAAGCCGTACACTAACTATGCAGATATTTATAGCTTTGGAATGATTGCGTATGAAATTGTAACGGTAACAGGTGAACTACCATTTGGTGAATGAAGCCATATTCTCGGATGGTGCAAATTTATTATTGATAAGTGTTGTGGTCCTATTGCAGAAAACAGATAACTGCTAAGGAGCTTTGTGACTGTATCAGATCCATCGATGACGCGTCGTCATCATCGTCGTCATATACGATGTTGATAGTCCTGATAAAGTGTAAAAGTTCCTTAGTGGTTGATCTGTTTTCTGGAATATGTTCCCAATAATAAATTTGCATGGCGAAAAATCTACGGTTCATGTGATTTTTAATGAGTAAACCAATCAAATCGCAAGATAATTATTTGGACAATCGTAACATTTCCTACAATCATGACTAGTATTCGCGCCCATCTTGAGTGAATTCAGTGGATAAAATGCGTGAATTGGTTGAAAATAAACGAGCGATAACCGTTGTAGTTACGTATGAGTGTACATACATACGTGATACATGTACATGTATGTGTACATGTACATTAATAAGAAAAATTGCAGCATGCATCATCATCGTTTTGATTTGATTAAAATCATATTAAGATAATGGTAACTCTCTTGTTTCTCTTTAACTCGAGCTATAAAATTTTCTTAAGCAAAATTCAATTTCGAAAAAATTTGCAATTGTATTACATGTATTGTAAGTACATTATCTGATATATAACGAGAACATCTACATGTATTCGGAATTTTTTTGAAATTCAAGCAATTAGGCGGTTTAACATAAACCAAACATCCCAATTACTGTTACATTATCTGATGCGCAAATTTACCATTAAAAAGTCTTAATATCTATAAAAAGGGTGATACCCGCGAAATCCTTTAGACGGCACAAGTCTCGCCCATTCTTCAAGTTGTTTTACCAAAGATGAATCGAATTTTTCCATTCTCTTAAAAGATCGGGAGTAAATAGTTACAGAAACTTGCCACAATCGGTAACAATCAAGAATAACTTCTAAATGTTGATCACAAAGGTAAACATGTCGACCAAATTCAATCATTTTTATCGGATTGTCGCGATTCGAGAGAAAATAATATAGTGCGCTCGGTGTTACCCGTAAGCAATTAAGGTACACTGAGCAAAGATTGTGGCTTAATTTTTGTGAAAATTCTGTCCAGAATTCATTAACTCTACAGAGTTCTGAAGGGCAGTATCCTT